CAGACGGTGAAGGACCTGCAGCTTCGTCTGGAAGAGGCCGAGCAGTTGGCCCTGAAGGGAGGCAAGAAGCAAATCCAGAAGCTGGAGGCCAGGGTGAGCAGGGCTGTGTTGGTGCATGAGTGACCTCGTCTCTTGGGGAGACACCCCCAGGGAAGCTGCAGGGACGGGCTTCTCATTGCAGGTGCGGGAGCTGGAAGGGGAGGTTGATGCTGAGCAGAAGCGCAGCGCTGAAGCCGTGAAGGGTGTGCGCAAGTACGAGAGGAGGGTGAAGGAACTCACCTATCAGGTAAGGCTGGAGGCTTCTTTGCATTGCCTTCCTGGTAGAACAGTGTCTCAAAACGTTGGAACATTGCCTTCCAGAGGGATTTCTTTCTATACCTCAGACAATGACGGAGTTAACTGGATTTTGACACCTGTCCTTCTGGACTGCAGTGTTCCATAAACTATATTATTCCCTCTGTTTCACATTTATGAAATTGAGAGAATGATGTAAACAAGGTTTTCTGTTACTTGCCATTCTCTGTAGTCTGAGGAAGACCGGAAGAATGTTCTCAGGCTGCAGGATCTGGTGGACAAGCTGCAAATGAAGGTGAAAGCCTACAAGAGGCAGGCTGAGGAGGCTGTAAGTACCAATTTGAGCAAACTAGACTTCCTTCTTGTCAAATTCTGTGTTGATATTTTCTTCTGTTCATCTTTTTGAAACCTTGACTGCTTTCATGCAACATGATGACGTTTTGACACAACACGGAATGTGAGAGTAAGACTTTCTGGGTTTGGGAAGAACTATCCTTCTCCAATTCTGTTTTGCTCTATGCCTCATTTCCCACTCTGTTTCTTCCTTCACACCCTACTCTGGGCTTCAGAGGCAGCTGCCAGTCTGCCTATTGAGGACTCTGACATGAACTCTGCCTAGACCATGCTGTGTGTAATGTGGCCATGGCCTTTTTGACATTGCAATATTCTTTTCTCTTCCGACATACTTAACACCCTGAACAGCTTCTTGTCTTGGTTGTGAACTTGCTCTTCTAGTTCAGCTGTGGCATTTGAATTTTTCTTTGCCCAGTTTTCAGATATTAAATGTCCACATGCTGTCTGTTGTTTTCACAACTCCCTTTCCCCACACAGGAGGAGCTCTCCAATGTCAACCTCTCCAAGTTCCGCAAGATCCAACACGAGCTGGAGGAAGCCGAAGAACGGGCTGACATTGCAGAGTCACAGGTCAACAAGCTCCGAGTGAAGAGCCGGGAGTTTCATAAGAAGGTAGCAGAGGAGGAATGAGGTTCCCAAAGCTAAAAAGTGACCTGAGGCATGCATAAAATGTAAACCTCTGTGTTGCTTTCTTCTGTAATTATCATTTATGTGTAGGTAATAAATACAGTAGAGACCTTTGCGTATGAACAGTGCATGCTTTATTTATTCTAGCATTCATTACATTTAAAAGTATGTCAAAGAGCATTACATTTTTACATCTGCATTTTAAAAGTACATGAAAAATAGTAACAACTATATAGATTTATTATTCCTCTTGCAATGAGAAGTATGCACTTCTTTGATGGACTAAGACTACATTCTTCCAAGTTATTTTGATCAACACTTTCGGAAAAAAAAAAAAAAAAGGAAAAATATTCCTGAAGCATTTAACATACACACACACACACATACACACATATATATATTAAAATATGTGTGTATATATATATCTCATTTTTATTAATTGAAAAACTTATTTGGTTAGGTTTAATGGTATGGGAAACTCAAATTTCACTCCAAGCATTGACAAGCAGTCCAACCAATGTGGTGAGGCAGAGGCATGAAGAGATATCCTCACTCACTTTCTCTGAAGTTATTTTGTTTCATGCATAGCACAAATCATACACATTCACATGTGGGATAAGTAATGAGAATCCACAGTTAAAAGACTATGGAGGAAAAAATAGGTAAGGCTGCAGATTCTGTTTATAATTTGAATCAAGCCCTCCCTTGCCTTTCTAGGCTCACCCCTTCCACTCTGTCCACAGCCTGACTCTTCTGCCTGTTTATTGCCATTTTCAACATACTGGGCCTGTTCATTTTCCTAAGAACAGCCTAGAATATAATATTTGCATTAAGCTAAACTAGACATTCAACAATTACATGTTGATTGAAAATGTAACATAAAGTAAAGTACAGCCCTGGTTAGGTAAGGTCCCTAACTACTGATCACGGTTTGGAACACATTCAGTGTGTCTAAGTGCCTGGTAAATTAGAAGTGAAGCTGAATAGGGACTCCTATTACTGATAAATTTGTTTTTGCCAAGACACAGTGTGAGACTGACTTGGTTGGTATTTTTGGCATATGGTCAAGCTTTAGCAGCTACCTCAAACTTGCTGTTTATTTAAAGCATGTGCTAAACATCTTTGACCATCCCACCAGAATTGTCAATCCGTAGCTGACCTTCATGTGTCCCTTTTGGATATCTTTTCTAATCCTTCAAGTGCCGTAAAACCACTGCTTTAAAATGCTAAGCGTTAATAAAACATGTAAATAATATTTGAGCAGCAGAAGACAGCTGAAGTTAGGAAGGGACACTACTCCACCCATTTTAGAAACCACAGTTCAGGATCCACCATAGCTGAGCATCTCTGAGGCTTTTGGTGCTCCCTTGAAACCTTTGGGTTATTTGTATGAGCAGCACCCATCTTCCCTGTGACTGATAACACTAAACACAACCCCACCTCATGGCCCATCTCAGGATGTGTCACTGTACTACCATGTGCCCTGCTATTCCAAGGGCTCATCAGAGACCTCCAGGAACACATCACAGTTTTTGGTATCAATCACATTTCAGAAAGGGGGCAGGGTAAACAAGGGAACTGAACTGAGCTGAGCAGAGAAAGCCTCTTTTCTGCTCTTATAGTACATTTCATCTCCCCTGCCATCCAAGGGTTTCGTGCTGAGCCAGAAACCCTGTGGGGACAGATCTCGGCTGGAGTTGGGGCACCACAACACTCCTGCCTACCACACAGGCCATAATCCAGAGGGAAATGCACCTGGAGCCAGCTTCAGGAGCTGCAGTAACCAAAGGGACCCTCTGCCGACAAGGCAGAAGAGGCAGAACTTTGTTCTGCTAATACACTTACCCGTTTGGCTGTGCATCATGACATAGATCATTTTTATTTCCCCATGTAGCTGCTCACCTACATCCAGCTTCTCCACCGCAAAAGCAGCGGATGGGAGGGGAGCAGAGGGAGCCGAGAGGGAGCAGAGGTGGCCGGGAAGGCGCGGAGAGGGACCGAGAGGGGAGCGGAAGGGGCCGGGAGGGGAGCAGAGGACGCCGGGAGCGGTCGGGCAAAGCAGGAGGGACGGGAGGCTCCCTGAGTGCCCGCGCCAGCCCTCCCGTGCAGCGGTGGGCACCCCTGGCCGGCGCCCCAGGGCAGGGGCCCTGGCGGGGGCAGTGCAAGAAGGCACGCGAGTGAATGCCAGCCGTGAGCTGGTTTTAAAAGCTCCTTCGATGGTCCGTCCCTCTCTCTGGGAATTTCAAAGTTCCCTTTCTCTTTTCCTTATTTTTCAGCCTCGGTCACCCCCTGCTTTGCCTCGACACCTTCCTGAGCTCTGGCCGGGTCGCCTCACCCGTGGCACAGCTGTTGCAGGCCGGGGCGGGCTGAGGGCCCGAGGCCCCGCCAGTGCCAGGGCTGCCCTGTGCCAGGGCTGTCCCTGTGCCAGGGTTGACCCTATGGCAAGGCTGTCCCTGTGCCAGGGCTTTCCCTGTGCCAGGGTTGACCCTATGACAGGGCTGTCCTTGTGGCTGTGCTGCACTGCTGACCACACTGCTGAGACCCACAGACGACCCCCTGCCCCCCGAGGTGCTCTGCTCAGACGTGGTGCTCATCCAGACTGTCTGCACCCTCTGTGTCAGGGCAGCACGAGGAGGGAGGGGAGCATGGGGTGAGCCTGGCAGAGGTGGTACATGGAGAACACTACTGGGGCATGATACTTGTTTAGTCCTTCCTTCTGCCAATGAGAAATGGCATTGCCTATGTAGCACTGTGATGGCAGATAGGAAAGTATCAGTGAATCAGTAGAGACCCAGACGACTTGTAGAATATACCTAAAATGTGAAATAATTTATTTTATTCTCTTTATACTTTTTTGCCCCTTTTTTTTCAGGAATGTATCATTAGTCTTTATGTCCTTTCAGTTTACAGTATTTTGTTTAATGAACATCCTCAGCAATCAGTTGCAATTGCTTTCTGGCTGGTGTTTATCAACAATTTATCATTGTTGACTTCTTGGAAAGCTGCATTGTTAGCCCAAACTGAAAACACTATAAAGTATGAACTATTTATAATACAGAGGAGAAAATTTTACTGGCATAATTTTTGCCATTTGTTCAATAAGCAAAGTTTTTCTATTTTAGGTGCCTTAAACATTTTCCTTTTGAAGAAGCCACCACCTTTCAACAGGTCTGAGAGCTGACTGAAGAGGCTGCTCAGGTTGCCACTTCTCTGCAGCTGCTCTAGAAGGATTTATAGGTTCCTCTGTGCTCAGACAACTGCTGCCTCCCCTTTCTCAAGCAGATGTGCACCAATTTTAGCTTCAGTAACTGTTGCCATTGTGGACACCCTCAGAATGACAGAAGAGGCAAAATCAATAGGAACTGGACACAGGGAGAGAGGAATTTCGGTGATGGATAGAAGCTCAGTACTAGGTTGGGGTTTGTTACATGTGTGGGTGCGATTCAACTCCAAATTCAAATACATACTTTTAGTCATCTTCATGCCCAAATGAATCTGTAGGTAAGTGAGCTGAATGTTTACGCTCCTGATAGACAATACTATTAGAATCAAGCACATGTTTCGGGTCACTCTAAGGTAGACAACCACATTAGGACAACTGGGTCATTCTCCAGTTTTTATTAACTTGAGCTCTGATGCCAGCAGGATCTACAACACCTGGATCCCAGGTAGGAACATATGCATATCGTGTGTGTGAAGGGCTGTTGATGATGGAAGACTTGAGCAAATAGGGAATGCATATATACAGCAGGAGGGCTATACTTGTGCAGGTCATAGGGAGGGAGCTGCACTGGATTTGGTAGACAAGAGGAAACCCTGAGAGAATATTATAGCTGGCAGAAAAAAAGCTAAAATGCCTTTTGTGAAAGACTAAAAAGTTGTGGCCACTTTCATTCTGCTTGATTGAAACAAAATTGTTATATTAAAGCAAAGGATTTCCTGACATTTTTGAGGAGAAAAATACTGCAGTTTTAAGAGCTATCACAATTTACCTAGTTTAATTTTCACTTTTTTCTTTTACTAGCAAAGGTAGTAAAATTAATTTTATACAAAACTTAATCCCCCAGATACACATGCACACATACACTCATTTTTTCTTGACCTTCAGGTTTTACATATATGCAGTTTGTCCAAGTTTGTCTAATTTAGAAAGTTACAGTTTCAATTTTTCTTTGTCAGCTACAAAGTTTTTTCCAAATTAAGAGAGCTTTCCTCTTAAAATGACAGAAAGGAAAAACAATATCAAAAATACATACAGATAGAAAAAAATGCTCACTTTGTATTCTGTTATATTGACTGGGACTATAAAGGCAAATAAAGAAAGGGAAAATATAAGTGAAAACAGATCAAGCAATATGTTACAGGTTGTGGAAGTTTTCAATTCCATGTAATTTTGAAAAATCCTTTGGAAAACTATTTTCTTTTGAGCCTTCAAACCTTTATGGGTTATTTTTTTTCTATTTGAAAAAATCTTACAAATCAAGGCTTTTAGGCAGCCATCAGCTTTATGTCAGTATTATATATGATTGTGGGAAAACCATGAGGTTTTCCTTGGTTTTTTTTTCTTCTTTGTAGCCAATTTTAATCCAGGTCAAAGACTGCATGCACCAGCAAAATGAGACAACATACGGAGTCATTGAAATACCTGAAACTCATACTGAATTCCAGTTCTCAGACAACATAACTGCATTAAACACATGAAAGAAATGCTGCTTTATACTCAGGTAAGGATTTAGTTGTCAGGGTTAAATCATAGGACTCAGTCTTACTCTTCAGTGGGAATCTACTCCAAATGTGAAGCCGAGATGTCTGTTAATCTTCTCCCCACCCCCAGGATTACAGTGCCATCACAGAGACACAGTCAGCTGAGAGAAGAGGAGGAAGGAATTTCCTCACTTTCTTATCCAGACCTCTGAGTAGGAGATGCTGAGAGAGGAGCACAACTGGTACTGTAGCTGGAGAGGCAAAACACTGTGGGACCAGATGAAGCTGCTGAGATGTGATTCACTTCAAACTTCTTTGTGGTAGGAACTGTAATTTGGAAGGTGAAGACCAGTACATAAAAAAAAAAAAAAAAAAAAAAAAAAAANAACCAGAAGAAAAACAAACAAAACCACAAACAAACAAACCCAACAAATCAAGATCTGTTGCATAGGGATGAAATTTTCTCAGTAAAGCAAAGGATTTCACTGCTCTCTTCACCACTGTGATCTTGTGAATATGGAAGATGTGTAACCCCTTCCTTAATCTGGGTGGGCAACGACCAAGGATCAGCACAGTACATTGGCTTTTTACACAAACTAGAATGGGGTTCAGCTCCCTCTAACAATAACTGCCTCTCTTTCAGACCAACATAGTACATGACTCTTTCTGTTCTAGAGAATGTAAATTTATTAAACCTTTCCCTCCATCTGGTACACTTATGCGGAAAAAGTAGTGCTGAATGACTACCCTATGTTGAGACAGCACCTATCTCTCCCTATTGCAATGGGATATAGGTCTTAAGTTCAATATAACGGTTCCATAGTCCCATTCATGTGATCTTTGAAACTCTTCAGCTCCAAAAATCACAATTGGATTTCTGTATCTTTCCTCTGGCACCTAACTCAGTGACTTCAGTCTTTGAAACTTTTATCTTTAACTCAAGGTAAACTTTTTCTGCTCTTTTATTGTTCCTTGTGTCCATGGTGACTTGCTGTTATTCCATTGGAATCAAACCCCTATTTACTTCCTCTGCCTTATTCACATATCCTTATCACTACTTTCAGACTCATTCTTCCCCCCTTCCCTTGCTTTGGCTTTGATCCATTTTACTCCTTAGTCATTCTTATCATCCTCTGATTCTCATTCCTGTGACTTCTGTTCCTTTTCAGATGCTTCCTCCTGCATTGGGATTTTCTTCCTCTAGCAATGACCCTGCCTCTCAGTAGGACCCCTTATGTTTTTCCACATTGAGGACTCTGAGCATTTGCAGCCTGTGCCTTCATGTCTCCATCCTTACAGGTTTCCTACTAGAACACACTGTCTCTTACTCTTCACTTTCTTTGCTTGAGTCAGCATCCGATGGATTACAGAACCAATGTAGCCCCTTTCATCTCTTTTAGCACACCCTCCCACTTCCCCCCCTTCTCAGGCTCTCTTGTCAAATTATTTATAGGACATTGATTCACAGACCTGCTATGTCTAATTATATCCATTCACTTCTAATATAAATGGCAATTTTGCTAGGAGTTAAGATTGCCAAAAATGTTTTGACCTAAGAAAGAAGAGGTGGTGGCTACATATGCAGATCAGATTCTATAAAAGTACTCTGGGATCAGTGTGTCGTGTCCTTCCTCAAAAACCTCTAAGGTAAGAGTTTCAGGGGCTTGGGACTGGGGAAGTGGGGGATGAAGGAAAACTGGCCCTACATTCCACAAGCACCAGTGCATTCCTATAGATGCTCACATTTATTCAGTGGGGGTCTGTCAGTGTCAGCTGGGATTTTCAATCTGGTTTCAAGGCATCCATATGTTTTCAGTCTATAAATGTTGTCTGGGGTGCTGCAGTAAGAAGGAAGTTACTAATTCTCTTTTTTAATACTGACCAGCTTCCAATCTACAGCCCATTCAGCTTGTCTCACAAAAGGTAAGATCTTGATTTATTCACTCTATAGGGGCAGGCAGAGTTGCTCTAAGGCAAGGATTCTATGCAGGTATGCTGGTAATCCCTGTATTCAATATGTTTATGTCTGCTGTATAAATACAGTACGAGAACTGAGCTGGATTGCTGATATCTTTATCACAAGATTCTTAAAGACAGTGATCTTAAAAGTACTGATCACTGCTGCATTGCCTACATTCTCCCCAAGAATCTCCAGTAGAGACCAGTTTCCTGGAGAAACTGTCCTAAGAAGAAATACCCCATCAGAAAGCAGTTTCCAATTACTTTGTGAGTTTTTTTGCATTTACCTCAAACATCAAGGGTAACTGGCACTGGATGTGAAGCAACAGGAAAAGACATACATATTTAAATAATGTTAATATTTTCTTTTTTCACATGGAAGCTGGAGGAACAGGGTTAGAATTTTGCATATCAAAACATCAAAGTGATTAAAGCAAGCATTTCATCCTGAGCTTCCTTATAGGCTTGTTTCTGCCTATGAATATATTGCATAATTGTGACATAATTATATAGGTAAATATTTGTAATCACAGGGAACTGAAGAAAGGATGATACCTACTGGGATACCTGGAAAAAGAGAGATGGGATAGCAACTAAATTCGAAGTTTTAAAGATTTACACCCAGGAAAATAAACTGCTCACAATTTATTTTTTACATTAATTTATATTAATTTTGTCAAATATTGTCACTAGAATATATCCCTCGAAATTATAAAATGCCAACAAGCAATCATGTGTAAGGAATATAACTAGCATGCTTTGAATAAGTGGAGGAGAGTTAGCATAGCACTGATTTCAGGAAAACTCAAAACAGTCAAAAGAAAATAGTTTAACTCTTTAAAAAGTCAATATACTCACAGATTGCATACATATATTATATGCTAACATAATGTATACTGACCTACTATATATATTATACTTTTTAATAATACCATAAGGACATATTGTGATAAAAGCTTACAGTGTCTATAAAATAACATAATGTACAATATGTATGCAATATACATAATATAAACTAATATACTACAATATATAATAACACGATATATTCTGACATAGTATATACTAATATCTGTAATATGGTAATGTTATTCATCTTAGGAATAGTTATATGATTCCTGTTAGGAATCTTGTAAAAAAATGGGAGTATTATAGGTATTATAGGCAATATTAAAATTGCAGTTGAAAAACTAGGACCATTTTTCAACTATGTGTAATTATTTTGTGAAATGGTCTCATTTGAGTTATAATACATTAATCAAGTGGAAAAACATGTAGTTAAAAACAAAGCCATGTCAGGAAATTGTACCATTCGTTTGAATTGATAGCACCTATTCATGTCGTGAAGTCTCTGCTGGCAGAGAAGGCAAAGCAATTTTTTTTACATGTAAGCAGGGGAACATTGAGTAGAATGAATTCTATAGTGTACAAAAATACTGTGATCATTGTTAAACTATTGTTTCTGTTAGGCTGGCCATACTGCAATAATGAGGTTACTAAATGGTAAAGGGTCCAGAAAAAAGTTTAAAAAATATTCTAAGTCCATAATATCCTTTCTGCAATCAAAGTGAAAATGTTTCTCAAGGAAAAGTTAACCGATCACTTGATTTTCACCTAGACATCTGCCATAGGTGAAAGTATTGATAAAGAAGTCAACGTTTTGATTTATTCAAAATCCAAATTGTAGGTGATGAACACACATAACATTAGACTAAAAAAACCCAAATCATTTGGACCAGAATCATAGAGTGGTTTGGGTTGAAGGGACCCTAAAGACCACCTAGTTCCAACCCTCTGCTGTGGGCAGGAACACCTTCCACTAGACGAGGTTACTCAGGGTCCCATCCAACCTGGCCTTGAACACTTCCAAGGATGGGGCAGGCACAGCTTCTTTGGGCAGCCTGTGCCAGGGCCTCACCAGCCTTCTTGTAAAGAAATTCTTCCTCATATCTAATCTAAATGCATCCTATTTCAGTTGGAAGCCATTCCCCCTTGTCCTGTCACTCAAGGCCCTTGGCCAAAGTCTCTCTCCAGCTCTCTTGGAGCCCCTTTAGGCACTGGAAGGGGCTCTAAGGTCTCCTTGGAGCCTTCTCGTCTCCAGACTGAACACCCCCAGCTCTCCCAGCCTGACTCCAGAGCAGAGGGGCTCCAGCTCTCAGAGCATCTCCCTGGCTTCCTCTGAACTCACTGCAGTAGGTCCATGTCCTTCTGATGTTGCGGACCCCAGAGCTGGAGGCAGAACTTCAGGTGGGGTGGAGCAGAGGGGCAGTCCCCCACTCCCCTGCTGCCCATGCTGTGGGATCAGCCCAGCACACCGTTGGTTTCTGGGTCCCACCACACATGGCTGGGGCATGTCAAGCCTCTCACCCATGAGCACCCCCAAGTCCTTCTCCCCAGGGGTGCTTCCATCTGGTCATCTCCGAGCCTAGTTTGATACCGGGGGTTTCCCTGACCCAGGTTCAGGACCTCGCTCTTGGCCTTGTTGAACTTCATGATGTTTGTACAGGCTCACCTGTCCAGCGTGTCAAAGTCCCTCTGGATGGCCTCTCTTCCCTCCAGCATGTTGACTGCTATAAACCTAAATTCCAGCTTCACAATTGTGTGAAAGTCAAGACAATACAGTCAAGACAATTATTAGGCAATAACAAACAGATACTAATTGGCCGGGTTTTTTTAAAGTAGTGAATGAACTCAAGCTTTTTTATTACGAAATAGAATAATCAGCTTTGTTTGCTGGATGTGTGAAATAACTGAAATATTTTACAACTTGAACTATTTTATCCAAAAGGAATGTCCTTAATAAGAAGTGCTAATAATACTTTCTCTGTACATATTCACTGTATTGTGCCTCTTACAGTGTTTTATTGTAAACAAATCACATTCTCTGAAAGGTGATAAACAAAAATTATATGAGAAGGCTTTCACAATTACAAAATTGGGAGTATCTATTGAGTGCAGGGTTTGGAACCTTGGGAAGGATCTCTTTATCCTGTTAATACAACAAATGACGGCTCTTGGCCCGGCCTGGCACGTGGGCGCGCAGCGCGGCCTGGCCCCAGGTGCGGAAAGGAGAGAGAGAAGGGGAGCTTCACCGGCGCGGACTGTGCCCTCATGGGAGATGAGAAGGGGAGCTTCAGAGCACACAGAGGAGAAGGACAACTCTAAACCCGGGCAGATGGAGCTCGCTTAGCCCTGTAAGGCCATCCATCTAAGAGAAGGTCACTCTAATTAAACCTATGTTCTGAGGACCTCGCTGCCACCGTCCAAGCTCGCTTGGCCCTGGCAGATGAACCTTAGGATTAAAGGGTGGGTTCAGTCCAGTGCATACTGCATCTCACCTAAAAATCCATTGCACAGGCTCGAAGGCCTTACCCGCATTTGCAAAGCCCTGTAGCGACATCTTCTACAAATGCAGTCACACAAAGATCAAAAAACAAAGGCATACATCTGCCTCCAAAGGTGTACCCAAATTAACTCTCGCATGCTGGAACATCAGAACCATGCTTGATTCGGCGGATAGCGGATGTCCTGAGCGTCGCTCTGCCCTAATTGTCCATGAACTGTCATGTCTCAACATTGGCATTGCTGCTCTTAGCGAAGTTCGCCTTCATGAGGAAGGCAGCCTCAGAGAACATGGTGCCGGTTACACACTCTTTTGGTCAGGTAAGACCAGAACCGAAAGGCATCTCTCAGGAGTTGGCTTCATGATCAAAAACTCTATTGTTCCTAAACTCGAAAATCTGCCAACAGGTCATTCTGACCAAATTATCTCCCTATGCCTTCCACTACACAACAAGCAACAAGTATATATGCCCCAACTCTCCAAGCTGATCCTGCTGAAAAAGATAAATTCTACACGAACCTGCGCCGCCTTACCCAGGAGGTTCCTGCAGATGATAAGATCATTATCCTTGGTGATTTCAACATCAGAGTAGGAAAGAATTTTGAAGCCTGGAAAGGAATATTAGGCAAGCATGGTGTTGGAAGCTGCAACGATAATGGTCGACTTCTGCTAGAATTCTGTGTGGAGCAACAGCTCACCATCACTAACACTATGTTTCAGCAGAAAAATAGTCTGAAGACAACCTGGATGCATCCTAGATCTAAGCATTGGCATCTCATTGATTATGTCTTGGTGCGACGGAGAGATGTCCACGATGTCCACCATACCTGTGTGATACCCAGTGCAGAATGCCAAACAGACCATCGGCTGGTGCACTACAAACTTCACCTCAATCTTAAATTCAAACCTAAAAGGGGCAGTATCCCAAGGAGGAGACTCCAAGTTAACAATCTCCAATCAGCCACAGTGAGAAACAAATTCCAGGCTAATCTTCAAACTAGGCTAAAAAACCATTCCATGGATTCTACAGATACCTCTCTTAAAACACTTTGGCACCATATTAAAAACAGCATCCTGCAGTCCTCTGAAAAATCCTTAGGGTTCTCCCTCAAGAAGAACAAGGACTGGTTTGATGAAAACAATCAAGAGATCCAGGATTTGTTGAGGAAGAAGAGAACTGCCCACAAGCACACCTTGCACTGCCATCGTGGCACATAAGAAAAGCAACCTTTCGCCTTGCATGCAGCAAGCTCCAACAGAAACAAATGGTGGATCAATCTTGCTGAAAAAACACAATTATGCGCAGATACGGGTGATCACAGAGGATTCTATGAAGCCCTGAAAACAGCATACGGGCCTACATACCAAGCCCAAAGTCCTCTACTCAACGCTGATGGTCAAACACTTCTGAGAGATAAAACCTCCATTCTGAATCCATGGTCTGAACACTTTCAGACTCTTTTCAGTACTAGCCGTGTAGTCCAAGACTCAGCTATTCAGTCCATCACACAACAACCGGTGAAGTATGAATTGGATACTGCCCCCACTTTAGGAGAAACCCTTAAGGCCATACAGCAGGTGAAAATCGGCAAGGCAGCTGGGGTTGATGGAATTCCACCTGAAGTCTGGAAACATGGGGGCCTTGCACTCCATGCTAAATTCCACGAGTTTGTGGTGTGCTGTTGGAAACTAGGCGAACTACCATCAGACCTTCGTGATGCACTCATCATCACATTGTATAAGAAGAAAGGAGTTAAATCAGACTGTTCAAATTACTGTGGTATTACTCTGCTCTCCATTGCTGGCAAAATCCTGGCAAGAATACTCTTGAACAGACTAATACCCACTATAGCAGAAGGAATTCTACCTGAAAGCCAGTGTGGTTTCAGAGCCAACAGGAGTACCACAGACATGGTATTTGTTCTCAGACAACTGCAAGAGAAGTGTAGGGAACAAAACAAAGGTCTCTATGTAACCTTTGTTGATCTCACCAAGGCTTTCGATACTGCGAGCAGAAAAGGTCTATGGCAGATTTTGGAACGTTTAGGTTGTCCCCCCAAGTTCCTTAAAATGATCATCTCACTCCATGAGGATCAACACGGCCAAGTCAGATATGGCAATGCACTTTCTGAGCCCTTTCTAATAACCAATGGTGTGAAACAAGACTGCGTTCTCACACCAACCCTATTCACAATCTTTTTTCAGCAGGATGCTCCAAAGGGCCACGGCAGACCTCGATGATCAGGACGGTATCTACATTTGATATTGTACTGATGGAAGCCTTTTCAACCTAAGGCGACTGAAGGTCCACACTAAGACCTTAAACCATCTTGTCCAGGAGCTGCTTTATGCTGATGACACCACCCTCGTCGCTCACACAGAAGCAGCTCTGCAGCGTTTAACATCCTGCTTTGCTGAGGCTACTGAGCTCTTTGGGCTGGAAGTCAGCTTGAAGAAGACAGAAGTTCTCTATCAACCGGCACCTCAGGAAGTCTTCCATCATCCCCATATCACCATTGGTGAATCAGAGCTCAAATCAGTCCAGCAGTTTAATTACCTAGGCAGTCTCATCTCCTTGGATGGTAAGATTGATGAAGAGATAGACAACAGGTTAGCAAAGGCATATAGTGCCTTCGGAAAGCTTCATAAAAGAGTTTGGCGAAATAAACACTTGAAGAAAAGTACAAAGATCAGTGTTTACTAAGCCATTGTGCTGTCTGCTCTTTTATATGGATCTGAATCATGGGTCATCTACCACCACCACCTGAGACTCCTAGAACGCTTCCATCAACACTGCCTTCGTACAATCCTAAACATCCACTGGTCAGATTATGTGACCAATACATCTGTTCTAGAACAAGCAGCAGTCACAAGCATTGAGGCCATGTTGCTGAGAACACAGCTGCGATGGGCAGGGCACGTCTCCAGGATGAAAGATCACTGCCTCCCTCAGACCTTGCTTTATGGTGAACTTACCACTGGCTGCCGCATGAGAGGAGCTCCGAAGAGAAGATACAAGGACTCCCTGAAACAACATCTCAGCCTTGGCCATATTGACCAACAGAACTGGTCTACTCTGGCCTCCAACCGGGAGGTCTGGAGATACAGTATCTATAATGCTGCTGATGCTTTTGAGAACGCACACAGGATCACCCTTGAGGAGAAAAGACAACGCAGAAAGAATCGTGTCTTGCTGAATATTCCACCTAAGGAGTCTTTTTGCTGTGCCTTTTGCAACCGAACGTGCCTGTCTCGTATTGGCCTTTTTAGCCACCAGCGCACTTGTAACAAATGTGGGTAAAGCCCTTACCAAATCTTCATTCGCGAAGCCTAGCCATGATGATGATGCCAACAAATGAAAAACATCCCAAACCAAAATCAAATACAAAACACAGAAAGCATTCCTCTGTAAATGCAATTGCCCAGTAGGCTTAAAGATCCGACTACACAAAAAAAAGAAAAGAAATAAAATTTCCTAACAGAATTCTGAAACAGCAGAAAAAAAAAGAGTGGCAATTCAGTCAATACCTAAAGCAGAGCAATCCACTGTGCTCTAGGAGTGTTTCTTCCATAAGGCACTATTGTAATGTGTTCTCTACCCTCACAGACAGGGAGTAAACAGCAGCCATGTCAACAGACGCCGAGATGGCCATCTTTGGGGAGGCAGCTCCTTACCTCCGGAAGTCAGAGAAGGAGAGAATCGAGGCTCAGAACAAGCCTTTCGATGCCAAGTCATCCGTCTTTGTGGTACATGCAAAAGAATCCTATGTGAAAAGCACAATCCAGAGCAGGGAAACAGGGAAGATCACCGTCAAGACTGAAGGGGGAGAGGTGGGTAACATGTAAGATTTGTAAACAGCCTTTTATTCCCACTCTGGTTCTGAGTTGACATGCTTGTCCCTTCCTGCCCTCTGACAGACCCTGACCGTGAAGGAAGATCAGATCTTCTCCATGAACCCTCCCAAGTATGACAAAATTGAGGACATGGCCATGATGACCCACCTCCACGAACCCGCTGTGCTGTACAACCTCAAAGAGCGTTACGCAGCCTGGATGATCTACGTAAGTGGCAGCAGCAGCTTCCCTTGGGCAGCTGGAGGAACTGCTCTGCCAGGCCCAGGGGAAGCCAATGTGCTGTGTCCCTTCCTCACAGACCTACTCGGGTCTCTTCTGCGTCACTGTCAACCCCTACAAGTGGCTGCCCGTGTACAATCCGGAGGTGGTGTTGGCCTACCGAGGCAAGAAGCGCCAGGAGGCCCCTCCACACATCTTCTCCATCTCTGACAACGCCTATCAGTTCATGCTGACTGGTGAGTGGCTCTCAGGGTGATTTCATCAAAAAGACATTTTAAAAGTGTTCACAGAGTTTCCCTGATAAGGTCAGTTGCTAACACAGCTCTCATTTTGCCTCTTCCCCAGATCGGGAGAACCAGTCCATCCTGATCACGTACGTACACCCCCTGCTCGGGTCCCTGAGGGGCTGCCCAGGGCCAGGGCCCCTCCTGCCTGACCACACGCTCTCTGCTTCTCTCCTTGCTCTGACAGCGGAGAATCCGGTGCCGGGAAGACTGTGAACACAAAGCGTGTCATCCAGTACTTTGCAACAATTGCAGCCAGCGGGGACAAGAAGAAGGAGGAGCAGACATCGGGCAAAATGCAGGTGAGGTCCCTGCAGGAGTAGGAACCTGAAACTATCAAATTTATTTAGGAGCTAAATCATGACAAGAAGATTTCCATTTTAGGGGACACTTGAGGATCAAATCATCAGTGCCAACCCACTGCTGGAGGCCTTTGGAAACGCCAAGACCGTGAGGAACGACAACTCCTCGCGCTTTGTGAGTTGTTACCTGGGACAACAGTTGAGATCGACTCAAATATTCTTGCAATTGGTATTGGTAAAATAGATCTCGATTGACTTTTCTGCTGCTTTCAGGGTAAATTCATCAGAATCCACTTTGGTGCCACAGGCAAACTGGCTTCTGCTGACATTGAAACATGTAAGAGCCCCTCCTGGCCTGACCCCCTTCCTTCCAGCCTTCCTCAGTTCTTGTGCTTAACTCTGTCCTGCCATCCTTGCCAGATCTGCTGGAGAAGTCCAGAGTCACTTTCCAGCTCAAGGCAGAAAGAAGCTACCACATCTTTTATCAGATCATGTCCAACAAGAAGCCAGAGCTGATTGGTAGGAAAGATCACTAACTCTTCCAGGCAAAGGTCACTGCATTTAACTCCTTTATGTGCCAATTGCATTTGACCCGTGTCTGTTCTGTCCCTATTTTCAGAGATGTTACTGATCACCACCAACCCATATGACTATCAGTACGTGAGTCAAGGTGAGATCACTGTTCCCAGCATTAACGACCAGGAAGAGCTGATGGCCACGGATGTAAGTTCAGAAGTTTTCTAGGTGAACTTTTATTTCTCTGACCTTTAACAGCTGGCGTACTTACTCTAGTGACACTTTTTTTCAGAGTGCCATTGACATCCTGGGCTTCACTCCTGACGAGAAAACAGCCATCTACAAGCTGACAGGGGCCGTCATGCACTACGGGAACCTGAAGTTCAAGCAGAAGCAGCGTGAGGAGCAGGCAGAGCCTGATGGCACTGAAGGTACCAGCACAACATATACCAAAGCACTGTAGACACCAAACACTCACGAAAAATACAGGCAGCAATTCAGGGTCAGAATCCTTGACTCAGCCTGTGCATTTCCCCAGTGCCAGTATTGTAGAATAGAAGTGTGTCCTAACCAGACACACTGTTCTCTGGAGGAACACAACTCAGTGGAAGCTGCAGATTATTTTGACCATTGTAAAATATTAAGTCCAGTGACTACGGTTCCACTGAGTGACAGAGTAGGAGTCAGGCAGAAATAAAGCAAGTTCTGCTGCTGTCTTAAATGGCAGCTTCCCAAACATGACACAGAACCAGGAGTAACAGTACAGTACATTCTATTGTAACAGAATAAGCTACAAATTATCACTTGAATATAACCTCAGTAAAGAGTTATATGTATATATATGTATATGCACACACATATATGTATATGCACACATAAAAGAATTGGTCTACTAAAGTGAAGCGAAACATTATTTCCAGTTTTGTTCTTATTTCATACGTTAATTTTTCTATTGAAAAATGTACTTTAAATACTTAGTTGCAAATAACACATAAAATGAAATAAAAGGAGATCAAAATTATCATCTGTGTACATACCTTATATAATGAGGTTTGGCCTTCTCACATTGAAGAACTCTGTAAATCGTACTGGTGCTCGCTATCAGCTTCACTGTGAGACGGGACAGGCAGCAAATTGGAAAGTGGTGACAGAATATATGCAGTGCTGTGATGCTTGTATTTACTAGTCCAACTGCAGATATAATGAGAACTGGCAAACACTTACTTGTGTGATATTTATCTTTAGGGAGAACATGGTCCCACTATGAAAGTAGAACAAGATTCATACTTTTGGCATACCTCACTAATCTATCTCTCTCCCTCCAATGATAGTAGAATTTCACTAACTACAATTTTCAGTACAGTGTATTTCAATACCAACCACTTTCCTATTCTCTTTATTCAGAAATTGTGACTATTTGATCTGCCATTTTCTTGGTCCTCAGCCCTTTTGTCTGTCTAGTCACTTGTTTCAAAATTTGCATTTTCAGCATTAAAGGTATTGGAATAATCTTTGCTTTTTGAATAATATAGATTAAATGAGAAGAATAAGCAAACACGACAATGTATATGTAGCTTCTGCAGAAATGATTTTTAATTACTCAAAAACACATCCACTGGAGAGCTAATATCTGATCCTACTCTACACTTGTTTCCCTAGTTGCTGACAAGGCTGCCTACCTGATGGGTCTGAATTCAGCAGACCTGCTCAAAGCCCTCTGCTACCCCCGAGTCAAGGTGGGGAATGAATATGTGACCAAGGGCCAAACAGTGCAGCAGGTAAGACACAAGTGATGATAGAAAACAATTACTTGAATTAAAAACTTTGAACTTTTTCTTTTGCTGTGGATGGTAACTTTCCTTTAACAATTTCTTAGGTGTACAATTCAGTGGGTGCCCTGGCAAAGTCTGTGTTTGAGAAGATGTTCCTGTGGATGGTTGTTCGCATCAACCAACAGCTGGACACGAAGCAGCCCAGGCAGTACTTCATTGGTGTGCTGGACATTGCTGGCTTCGAGATCTTTGATGTAAGAGGAGGCTCTTCCTACAAGTTTCCTGGAACAGGCATTAGGAAATTGGAATATTTTTGGGTTTGGGGTTGTGCTTTTTTTTTAATTATGGGTTATTTTTATTTACTAGTTAATCCTGCTGTTCCTGTAGGAATGGCATCCTTCTGGTTTTCCATAGTATATAGTATCCCACAGGGCTGCACATTTTTGTAGATGTCTGTTGTTGCACGCAGAAGTGAAAATTGCATTGAAAATTGATATGAAGATATTGAACAACTGCTAATTAATAGCAGAGATTTTGAGGAAGTTAAATCTTTCTTGAAGAAAGATTTTATTAATGCTGAAGCCAGATTCCCTCTAAATGCTTGGGAATAGACTGGTGGTGTACAAAAGTTCAAACAAAAGAAAAACTGGACTTGGATTAAGCTCTGCAAATCTTTTCAGAGCTCATAAATATGTTCAGATGGTGCAAGGGCCTGAAAGGGTAGATATATTAGAGCAGCACTGGAACTTAAGGATCCCAATCATGGAGACCTTAATGGGTTAAAAATAAAACTTATTGGAAGATTGAAAATGTTCCTGGAAATTCACAAGTAAGTAAATCTTTGCATTCTGCAGTTCAACAGCCTGGAGCAGTTGTGCATCAACTTCACCAATGAGAAACTGCAACAGTTCTTCAACCACCACATGTTCGTGCTGGAGCAGGAGGAGTACAAGAAGGAGGGAATAGAGTGGGAGTTCATTGACTTTGGGATGGACCTGGCTGCCTGCATTGAGCTCATTGAGAAGGTTATTGGCCCTCACATACTTAATAGTTTTCCAGATATAAAATGTAACAAGAATCTTCTATGCTCCAGTTAGACCACACACACCTAATGCAGCACAAACCAGTATTTTTTCTGAACTCCAAGTGTTTCATATACATTTTCGTTTGTCTCTTACTTCACTGCCTATGGGATTCTGTCATGTTGTATATATGATTTACATGGGACAAAAATTCCAGTCCTAGTCACTACTCCGAAGTTCATACGCAAAGGTGTGTATTTTTTGAATGCGTGCTGAGTGAGTAAATACCCTGAGCAACCTCTGTTTTCTGTCTTGTTTCAAAGAAAGAGCATTTAGGAAGTGTAAGCTCTTCCCTACATCTGAATGCTACTACTTTCATTCATTTTGTTTTCCATTTTCACCTAACATGTACATAATGAATTTCTACATGCTAGATCTTTATCACATCACAACCCATATCCTTATGGGGGAGCTTGGTTATTTTTGTATAACTGATGGCATATGCACTAACAAAATGCCCTTTCTGGAGAAACACAAGATCACACATTTTGAGGAGGGTTTTTTTGTATAATGTCTATCTTCCATTCCTCTCTCTTACATACATTGCCTCTATTTCTTCCTTACACACTTTCTTCACATCTTGCTATTTCCCCCAGCCCATGGGCATCTTCTCCATCCTGGAAGAGGAGTGCATGTTCCCCAAGGCAACTGACACCTCTTTCAAGAACAAGCTCTATGACCAGCACCTAGGCAAGTCCAACAACTTCCAGAAGCCCAAGCCTGCCAAAGGCAAGGCTGAGGCCCACTTCTCCCTGGTGCACTACGCTGGCACAGTGGACTACAACATCACTGGGTGGCTGGAGAAGAACAAGGACCCCCTGAACGAAACGGTGGTGGGGCTGTATCAGAAATCATCCCTGAAGACCCTGGCCTTACTCTTTGCCTCTGTTGGTGGGGCAGAAGCAGGTGATTTCTTTAAAATCAGTTTTCCCATTATGTATAGGAAAAAAAAATGTAATAATATTTTACCATAATACTTACATTTCTAAAATTGAAAACCCAAAACCTCATCTACTTTTTGGAACTCAGTATAACAAAGGATATTACAATTCTCTAGAGACCTTAATAGGTCTGTAGGTTTTAAAACCAGACAGCTCTACTACAACATTACCCAGACTAGCTGAGAAACCAGATTTATGCAGTATGGGCCATTCCCAAATACTTCAGGGAATACAATCAAATATATCAGCATGCTGCTGAATATATGCATACCCTTAGCTGTAAAGATACATGAATACTGCATTTGGTGTATTCACTAGCTATTAATTTAATTCCTTAAATATCGTTCTATACAAAATGTTACATGTTGTTTCCTGATTGCATTTTCTGAACTTCAGCTTTAAGTCACTGATTTTCATTCTTCTGCTATCTGAAAAAAATTGTCTCCCATTGTAACTTTAACCACTGTATGCATTTGCAAATTTTGATCATATTATTACTTTTACTAGATTTTTTAAGATGAACACACAAGGTTTTTCAGATTCTTTGTGCTTTTGTTGTTCATTTCTTTCTAAAAAATATATTATTTTTTAGAGAGTGGTGGTGGTGGTGGCAAGAAGGGTGGCAAGAAGAAGGGTTCTTCTTTCCAGACCGTCTCAGCTCTTTTCCGGGTACTGTAGAATAATCATTCTAAATTTACTACATTGTGAAAAAACTACAGAAAATTTAATACAAAAAAGCTTTAGATTGATCTAATATACAAAATCTTTATGTTCAGAAGGATAAACACATGTGCTTCTAATAAAGGATTCTTACTGAATCCTTAGAAGTATTCTTTCGGAACTGCCTAAAAGCTCTATAAAAAATATGCTTATCATGGTTTTATTGCAGTGTTTTTACTCCATCTAATATTGAGATTGTGTAAGTAACATTTTTAAACTCATGGCTTTGTTCTTGCTCCAAAGGAAAATTTAAACAAGCTGATGAGCAATTTGCGAAGCACACATCCCCATTTTGTGCGATGCCTTATTCCTAATGAAACAAAAACACCTGGTAAGTTGTTAAAATTCAAAGTTGTGATATACCTGTTCTTCTCTGTGCAGTAAAATAAAATACAAATTCATCCTGTGATTTATTAGGTGCCATGGAGCACGAGCTGGTGCTGCATCAGCTGCGCTGTAACGGCGTGTTGGAAGGGATCAGGATTTGCAGGAAAGGATTCCCCAGCAGAATACTCTATGCTGACTTCAAACAGAGGTCAGACTAAATATCATCCACCTTCCACCATATCCCCAAATGCTGAGTAATGTGCATTTCCTAATAGTTCTAAGTACTGTGAGGGTTATGGGAGGGGTTCATTTATACCTACCTTTAGGTATACAAAAGTTAATTGTCCAAGTTAGTCATCCAGTTTCTTTCTATAGCTAATGATAAAAGCAGATATTTTCAAAGGACAATTATTTATTCCTGTCCTTTATTCATATTCTGGTATGAGATAAAGTTTTTTTTAACTAACTATCCAGAAATGAAGTTGACTATTTTAGACTTAAGCACCCGGAGAGCAAAGTAAGGTGACTTTCAGCCATCAGCACAGAAATATGAATAAAGACACTACGAGTCATTCTAGACTAACTTGTTGGAAAACCAAATAGAATGAAAGTATCTTGCTTCTTGTTCTATACCAGCTGGAAAATACTCAGATAACATGTGCTGCCACTATTTAGGATTGAGATTTGCTTCACCTCTCCACGTATTTTGTTCTTGTGCAAAAAGTTCTCATTTAGAGATTAGATAACATAAGAAATATGTCAGCATTTACCCACAGAAATCATTATCCGTTCTGTGTCAAAAAATCTCTGGACTAAGGGAAATTAAGAGTTTTTCCTAAAAACAAATTTAGCCATGAAAGTGTGATTTCTAGAGAATGGAAGTGTTCAGATTTATTCACCTCTCTTCCACTCTTGAACCCCCTTCAGAGAATTTTAACGATGGCATTGGTTGGTACAGGTTTAATTGAGCTTTCAGGAATCTGACCTCCATATTCAATTTCCTGCGATAGGTATAAGGTGCTTAATGCCAGTGCCATCCCAGAGGGACAGTTCATCGACAGCAAGAAGGCTTCCGAGAAGCTCCTTGGCTCAATCGATGTGGACCACACCCAGTACAAATTTGGACACACCAAGGTACAAACCCCCCATTCCCTCACTCACTCTGTGCCTGTGCTTTGCCCGGCCTGACAGTGATGTGCTGCAACATTCCCTCTCTAAGGTGTTCTTCAAAGCTGGGCTGCTGGGGCTCCTGGAGGAGATGAGGGATGAGAAGCTGGCACAGCTCATCACCCGCACACAGGCCATGTGCAGGGGTTACCTGATGAGGGTGGAGTTCAAGAAAATGATGGAGAGGAGGTAGATACTTAGCCTTCTGGGACGATTCTTATCAGATACTAATGGCATGTACAAAATTGAAAATAAGCTTCTTCACATCAAATCTCATTTATTTCCCTTTAATTCAGTTTACCAATACAGATGTATATCCTGAAAATAGATGAAACAGTGTAAAATCCCAATTTAGGGAAATAAATATTTTTTTTAACACTTTGTACTAATTTTTGATGAATTCAGTAAGTGGTTACACTGTATGTATGTCCAGAAATTCAATATCTAGTGTAAGCTAACTATTTTAGGTCACTTCTTTAATCAAAGAAGAGAAACATATATTTCTACCACAAGAAAAGTATTCTCTTCCCTTTGATAACTTTCATGGAAGGGCCTGAGTAAAATTCTGTAGGTGTTCCTTTGCATTGGCCATGAAAGTGAACCAAACACCTGGACTACAAAACTGTCCATATAAGTTGATACTCTACATAACACTAGAAAGTTTTCTGTGGAAATATATATATTATATATAAAATGTGCACTAAATATTATTAAGAAATATATATTTAATAATACTTGATAAATATTTTATGCAGAGATATATACAGGATGATAACTATAAAGTATTATATGTAAAACTTCACATTATCCATATTAATATATACAATTAAATATGTTTTATAGATTTTAAAATATGTACCATAATATATTTTGTTATTGCCTTTCAGAGAGTCCATCTTCTGCATCCAGTACAATGTTCGTTCCTTCATGAATGTCAAACACTGGCCCTGGATGAAGCTGTTCTTCAAGATCAAGCCCTTGCTGAAGAGTGCAGAGTCTGAGAAGGAGATGGCCAACATGAAGGAGGAGTTTGAGAAAACCAAGGAAGAGCTTGCAAAGTCTGAGGCAAAAAGGAAGGAACTGGAGGAGAAAATGGCTTCTCTAATGCAGGAGAAAAATGATCTGCAGCTCCAAGTGCAGGCGGTGAGCATTGCTCATGTTTTTGTCTTGTAGCAACCTATGCAAAATCATCCCAAATGTCTCAGTAACAGACACATTATCCAAAACCAGTATTTATTGTAGAAACATACATGTATTTTATAAAATAGGAAGGAAAACCACATAGAAAATCTGCATAATAATAATAAATTTACAATTAACTCTTGCAGCTGCCTCCTTACACTTTTAAATTGAGAGAAATAATCAATTTCCAATGAGCAAATAGCACAGTTTACAGGATGTCATTTTAAATGGTACTTGGTGACTTACAGAAGCAATTATCAGATCTTTATATATTATCACATCTGTATATATATATGTATATATATACATATATATATACATCTATACATATATATAGATATGTATATATCTCTATATACATATAGATATAAATTATCACTTTATATATTACTCAATTGTGGTATGTTATCACCTGACCAATAAAGGTAGTCTGGAGGTCCTGTTAACACCTTCTATTTGGAGAATCACAAGTGGATTCAGGTGGAATAGGAGGGGCTGAAAATGTCAGAAATTTCTCTGGCATTTATGGTCCTTACCTCCTCAGGAAAAACAGTGATGAAAGTGGACTTTTTCCTTTTTTTTCTGGAAATAAAAAGGTAGCAACAATAATGCCCTTAAAACTGTATTTACACGCTAGGATTTGGATTCATCTGATGACATTTTGATGTCTACAGCCTAAAAGAACATCTTCACTAGTACCTTCAGGTGCTCTTCATCTTCAGCACCAAGAAACTCATTCTTTTAGAGTATGGTACAATTAATCCAAAAATTAAAAATTTCTGCTTAAATGGACTGCATCTTGATATCATGGCAAATACCTAAATCTGCAGGAGACAAAACTCAACCTAGCTTATTTTGCTGAGCTCTAAAAGTTCTTCTGCTCGGGTGGCATCACTGCTCTAGTAACTAGAGCAAAGACAAAAAGAAGAGGTGGTAGGTAGAAAACAGAGACTGCTTCTAAGTAGCTTACATCTTAGAATGCCTCTAAATGCAGGTGATTGGAACTGCCCTATAATAATGGCCAGTCTTCGCGAGCGAAGATTTGGGAAAGGTCATTAACCCTTCGAGCCTGTGCAGTGGATTTTTTAGGTGAGACCCAGTGTGCGCTGAACTGAGCCCACCCTTTAATCCTGAGGTTCATCTGCCGGGGCCGAGCAAGCTTGGACAGTGGCAGTGAGGTCCCCAGGACGTAGGTTTGTTTAGAGTGACCTTCTCTTAGATGGATTGCCTCACAGGGCTAATGAGCTCCATCTGCCCGGGGGGCTGGGAATTGAACCCGGGTCGCAGCGGTGAGAGTCCTGCACCCTAACCACTAGACCACCAGGGGCCCCGGAACTGCCCTAAGTAAATATCTTTTGCCCTTCCAAACTTTTCTTCTTGACCACAAGTGCTAGAAACATGCCTGTGAAACAGTGACTTATCACAAAATTTTGCCAAAACCAAAAATTTAATTCATGGTCAGAGAATCTTTTGGGAAGAGTTCAATAAGATCTTCTCAGACAATGTTTGAGGGTTTAACATTCAGTTTTTATACACCATAACTTAAAAAATTTGCCTACATGGCCCTCTTCAGTGGAGCTCTTTGCCAGTTTCCAGTCCACTAAAACGCAACAGAAGTGTAATGATGCAAGGATACAATGGACACACTGCCAGACCTGATTTTTGGCTCTGTCTTCAAATGAATGTTGGCATTGAATGAGCAGTTAAAGACTTTAAAAATGTTTGATAATATATTCCTTCATTTTAGGGGATGGAGGCAGTGTAAAACAAATAGGTACTCTCAGAGTTTTGAGTTTTACCTACAAAGTAGATTGTAAAGTTGCTTTGAGAATATAATGTCACTGTTTAAAAATAAGTGAAAAAAATAAATTATTTTAAAACTGTTCCATTTAAATGAATCATGTAGGAAGCTGATGGTTTGGCTGATGCTGAGGAAAGGTGTGACCAACTCATCAAAACCAAAATCCAGCTGGAAGCCAAAATTAAAGAGGTGACTGAAAGAGCTGAGGATGAGGAGGAAATCAATGCTGAGCTGACAGCCAAGAAGAGAAAACTGGAGGATGAATGTTCAGAGCTGAAGAAAGATATTGATGACCTTGAGCTAACACTGGCCAAGGTGGAGAAGGAAAAACACGCCACTGAAAACAAGGTATGAGGCAGAAAATCTCACCCACACTCCAGAAAAGAGCCCCGTGCTCTTCCAGGACTTCTGTATCTACTTCCTTGATTTACACTCGCTCCCTTCTTCCTAAAGGTGAAAAACCTCACAGAGGAGATGGCAGCCCT